TATTTATTTATTTATTTATTTATTTATTTTCACTGTTTGAGATGACCAGATTTAAAATGAGCACATGGGTATACAATATGTGAAGTCTTGTTACAATTATTATTTATAATGTTGGTCATGGTTTGATTTGTTTAAACTGTTCTTCCTTTTAACTTTGTTATAGTGAAAATAAATGCTGTGAGAAACATTCTTTATTATTCCCGTTATGTAAATTCAAGATGCATTTGTTATCTGTTGTGGTGTGGATGCATGTATTCCAATAAAATTAATATATCACACAATGTCTTGCTGTAAACATATCTGAACAACAACAGTAAAAGCACTGCTTTGCCACAATTCCCAACAATGGACACTTTGTGTGCGCAAACAGTTGAGACGGGAGACTGGAAAGACAAGCTCTGCAAAGAAGTTTCACGTTTCTCTGCATTCCAGTGTTCAAGTTTGGTGATTTTGGCCAAGATGACATGTTGAGCAATAACTCTCATCAGAACTAGTTCTAAACCCAATCCTAATCCTAAACCTGCAGCACACGTACATCACGGAGAGTCTATTTGAGTCTGCATTACATCTGCAAGACCTATATTTTAGAGTGTTTGCTCATCTGCAATAGATCAGGTCCAGGCCATCTATGGGAGTCAATCTGGCCCTGATTTTCATTCAAACTGAACCTGTAAACGCAACAATAATCCATTATCCTGAGAAAGAAAGAAAGAAAGTGTCCGGATGTTTGTGCTTCAAGCTGCCCAAAACAACATCTGTATGAAACACTGCACACGCTCTTCACTGATGCTCATTTCACTAAATTCACTTTCAAACTGTTTCTGAAACACACAGAGGACGAGTTTAATCTTTTATCAGCTTTTCCACTTAAACGAGGCATTAAATGCACACGCGGCTTTGTTCAGTGGCTGATGCTCGCCTTGAGTTTGATCTGACCGGGGCAAAACAAACATTTCCTCGCCGCGTGTTTTAGTCTCCACAGAAAGCCAAGAACCTCTGCTTGGTGCTCACTTTGTTTCTACTGCGCCAAACTATTTTAGCACTCGAGTTTTGCTCTTAAATGTAGGAGAAGAAAACACAAGCGCGAGCGGCTCGTTGAGGCGCGCAGACACAGAGCGGGCGGGTTGAGTCTGTAAGGTTCTCATGTGTTAAATAAGAGCGCAGCGCCGCTCGACTGCTGCTTATTGCTTAAACTAGAGAGCGTCTGATTTACTGTAGATTTACACACAGAAAGAAAGATGGCAGAAACCGCTCCAGCTGCTGCCGCGCCGCCGGCCAAAGCACCCAAGAAGAAGTCTGCAGCTAAAGCCAAAAAAGCAGGTCCAGCTGTCGGTGATCTGATCGTTAAAGCCGTGTCTGCGTCCAAGGAGAGGAGCGGCGTGTCTCTCGCAGCCCTGAAGAAAGCTCTCGCTGCCAGCGGCTACGACGTGGAGAAGAACAACTCCCGCATCAAGCTCGCCATCAAGAGCCTGGTGACTAAAGGCACCCTGCTGCAGGTCAAAGGAACCGGCGCCTCCGGCTCCTTCAAGCTCAACAAGCAGCAAACCGAGACCAAGAAGAAGCCGGCGAAGAAAGCGGCTTCTAAAGCGAAGAAGCCCGCGGCCAAGAAACCCGCTGCTGCCAAGAAGCCCAAGAGCGCAGCGGCAAAGAAGCCCGCCGCTAAGAAATCGCCCAAGAAGGCCAAGAAACCCGCTGCAGCCGCTAAGAAGACGACGAAGAGCCCCAAGAAGGCGAAGAAGCCCGCAGCGCCTAAGAAAGCAGCCAAGAGCCCCAAAAAGGCCAAGACTGCCAAACCCAAGGCGGCAAAGTCTAAAGCTGCCAAGCCTAAAAGAACAGCTCCCAAGAAGAAGTAAAAAACAGTTTTATTCCCCAACGGCTCTTTTCAGAGCCACCCACTAACTAAAGAAAGAGCAATTTACTTTGTGGAAGTAAGGTTAGGTTAAGAAACAACTAATTGTACTTTACAAATAAAACAAGACACAACATCACACTCCATCAACAACTCATTCAGCAGCGTTGTAAACTGCAGGCAACACAATAAATAACAGCAATAACACAACAACACAATTATTTAATTTATACATGGTTCTGTAGAACACAGGCTTTACTAATCTCCCACGAAATGAACACTGAAGTAGTAAAAATACCTTCTAGTGGTCCTTCATAGTACAACATCAGTTTCAGTTTTTCCCTTGTTCTCTTTTCCACAAAAACCTCAAGAGAATCTGGAGTAAAAGCAATAATTGATCCGGCCTTTCTGATCAGTTTATTAATCCCTATTTGTATCATCCACAGTGATATTAGCTCCCCAGCAGAGCACTGCATAGAACTGAA